GGCCACACATCGTCCTGTGCAAACTGAACTGAACTGAACTGAACTGTCCTGTCCTGACCTCAAGGTCACCAAAAGCACAGCTATATTGCGGACGCAAGAAATTCTTTTGTAATGGCTGGCGTTGCATTACACCGTCTTCCACGTGTCTGCGTGCCGTTACGGTACGCGTTGGAAATAAAGCCATGCTTGAAAACCTTCAAGTTCTTTGGAAAGGAATCCATTGCTCTAGAGGTTGGTGCGAATAATATTAGTCCTTACCTTTCTAGATGTTAGATGGTTCTTCAAGCCTAGTTCTTAATGCCAAAAACATAACTGTCAATTCTGCAATTTTCAACGGAGGTGAGCGAAGCTAATCTTTCATTAACTCTTCAGATCCCGTCGAGGTTCTTCCAAAGCCTGAAGCCGAGCAAATTCACATTCCCTTGGGCCGCAAGTATCACGTCAGTGCACTCTTCATTAGTTTACACTTATTCTTGAATTTCAGCAAGGACCGGCTTCTTTGGAACTAGAATTCACGGGAGAAATTTCAGACAAAATGGTTGGGTTTTATCGCAGCAATTATACTGATAATGAAACAGAAAAGGTTATGCTGGCCACTCACTTTGAAGTAGGTGTGCACCTGAGTGATATACTGTCTGGTTAGCCTTCATGTGCACGCAGGGCTTTCCCGTGTTGGGACGAACCGGAGTACAAATCAGTATTCAGCATCAAAATTTTAGCACCAAAAGAAATGACCGCTATCTCAAACATGGTAAGTTCCCATCAAGCCTGGTGATATTTGAATTGGTGTTTTATCTAACCCCATCAGCACGACCGTCACCGCTACGTCACCTGAGAATCACCGGAATCACCTAAGCTTACCCCTTTAATTAAGGGCGCATGGGGACGAAAGTCACCCTCCTTCCAATTTTTTTTACTTTAAGTCAGATTATGATTATTATTCCGTAAAATGTTTACACCATGTGAAATACTGTAAATATCACAGTAATTGGAATGCATGCATAGTTTGAAAGTTGCACTGAGTTTTTTCAGGTGTTCACTGTTTTTTATGTTTCACATGAACGGGCCAGCATGAACGGGGTCCTCTGTATCAGAAAGCAGAGGCGGTAAATGCGTGGAATGCTAATAAGAGAGCAAGGTAGTTCCTCATAGCCGCAATTGTGCATTTTGGCATCTGGTGAATATCCAAGAGTAATGTATTACACTTAACAGATGTGCTCCAATGTTGCCGGTGTAAGAAAATGACATCACTTCGGTTATAGCTTTTAGGAATCGTCGAAATCCATTTACCTCTTCTGATGGAGTTGGTAGCCTCCCGCAGACCGCTGTCAGCTTGACAGGGACCATGTGGGAACAATAAACTAAGCTTCCGTGCCGATTTTGGTTCTGTTCAGGTTTCTCTTACATTGAACTTAACGTCAGAACGGTTTTATGATATGTTAATAAGCATCATTAAATTTACTAGCTTCATTCTCAGCCCTTTATATTATCGACCCATGCATGTTACTTTCGACTAGTCTGCATTTGATAGTAATCTTTCTTCAGGAGGGGGGGGGGTAACTGCCGTATGGTTGCGCCTAAACAAGCCTTAGTGGTTTTCGCGTTTATGAAGAAAAATTAGCACCTCAACGTTGTCAACGACTTACGCATATACAGTCTCGGAAGTTAACTGATTACCAAATCTCGGTCCTATTCATCATTCCTTCTCCACGGTACCGCAATTTCGATTCTACCGGTATCCGATTTTTACTATTTTCAACTGTACGAATGCTTATGTGGAATCATTTCGAAATGATTGCAATACCCTTACTACGACATTCACTTAAAACGCATAAATATACGGTTTACGGCTGATGCTGTTCCATATAAAACTTGACCCGAATCCATTCCAGGTTTACCTATTGCGCCTTTAGCCCCATGTTACAGACTCCTAATTTATTCGGGAACTTACTCAAGCACAAGTCAACGAAATAAAACTTACCGGAGATAAATACGGTTTTTGATTTATACAAAAGATACAGAAAAATATACACATTTGTTTTGTTTTCTGTTTTGTTTAACATGGAGATTGCTATCTGCAAGAAAGGGGCACAAATATTGCATTATTTCCCTTTAGATTAATGTGTAATTTCAAGAAATTGACATTGTCATATTCAAACAAAATTTATGCTGTAGACGTTATAAATGATGCCCATGTCATAATATACTTAAAGCGTTCAGTATTATGCTCTGAGATGACTTAGCATATATGAAACATTTCACTGATACTTACCAGGCACATTTGGACTCTTACATCCTTAAATGGGCAGTTGTCGCTAGAGATTGAAGCCGACTGCCTTATCCTTTGGATCTATCCCTGGATTTTCGTATTTATGGCGGTGAGGCCCGTGATGCTAAGATATCTTTTATTTACGTCTTCTAGTTTTTGTTTGGTAAAGTTAATACAAACCGTGTACGAGGAGTCCGGAAATTGTCGTACTCAGGGCTGTTTTGCCGTGGGTACCCCTCCACTTAATTAGAAAACAGAGATTGTCCACAAACAATAGTCGGCACATGCTCTGAACGCATTCCCCGACACTGTCGTTAACCCACTCGATAAATAATGCATTTGAATTAAGTAAACGACAAAGAAAGTACAAACCATATCGGTATAGCTTGTTCCGTCGTCAAATTTCTGTAGCAAATGGTTGAAATCAGACAGATGTTTGCAGGTATTTTGCAATTAAGTACTGAGACGTCATCTCGGTCTTTAACATACTCAACCGTTTTACGACTCACCCGTAAGATCTACTTTTGGTTCTCCGCCAAAGACGCGAAGCTCCCTAATAATTCCTTCATGGCATGTTTTTAGGAGACTATGGGCATTGAAATTGCAACTTACTTAGAATGCGATCTATTTCTCTTAACCTTTCATCCCTGAACTGAGAATGTTGACAATGTGGATGGTGTTGACTGCTGGATTTCGTATTCAAGCTGGACGTGGTTACGTTACTGGAATTAAGTTTTTACCTTTTTACACTCCCGTGTGATAGCCGACTGCTTGCTCTAAAAAGTTACAAGTTAATTGAGAATGCTGCTTTCTTACGGGGTAATGTTATCCTTGTTCTGAACGTTACTTGTTAAACAGTGAAATAATTTTTGTTATCTTTTACACATTCTTACGCTTTGGGTTCTTCATCAGTTACGCTCAATGGGGTTGAACAAAAGTGACCTTTTATGCTGAACATCAGGGACACCATCAGTTTCCCGCGGATTTCGGGTTAAACCATTTTATCCAGTGACCTGTATATGGAAATACCGTCCAATGGAGGAGGCGGTGGTGAATTGTCCATGTCCACACTTGACCGTCCAATTGCATTTTTCTCCCACCTGGAATCGGGAAAAGCCGTTATTTTCCTTATAACTCGGTTAGTATTGCAACTCGAACTTACCGATTTTTCTCCTCGTATCGATTCATAGAAATGCTGGCGTCCGTGGACAACACATATTTTGCCACCTTGGCAACTTTGAAGTCGTCTGAAAATATCAACTGAGATGTAGTTCACTTACCTACGACTTAATGAAAATTTATCTTGTAAATGGTATTTCGCTAGGTAGCCCCTGGTGATGCGCTCAACACCTTGCTATGGACACTTTGCCCTATCCGTGCCAACCATTCACGAAATGTTTTTATTACACACTTTCATGTGATGAACAGCAGACGGGGTAAACCCCATACTCACGATGACCTGCTTTTCGATGATGGAAACCGGTAACCTAATCCCCGGGACTTCGAGTGGCGAACCACATAAAGCCCCGCTAAGTGTGGCATAGAATTGGACGAAAGCAAAGCTGCCTACCACCAAAGTTGGGTGGCAGTGGTGGGGCTCGAACCTCGGACCATAGGGTCCAAAGCACTCTGCTGTGAGCGACTAAACCTTTACGCCACCGCTGCAGAATACTCCCATTGTTTCCTGTAGTGAAAATTCAACCACATAGAACATCCATAAAGAGAAGGCAATAACATAAGGTATACTGTTTTACTGTAAACGTCGCCAGTTGTGGCTAATCGGATACAACACATGCTTTCTTGCATAAGATATCAGCCTACATTTACAACGAATTTGGTATATTGGGTAGTAATCTGTGGATTGACCCAGTGAATCACAGAAATCAACTCCCAGGTGTGACGACTTCAGCGGTTTTTTGTGAAAATCCGATACCGAACAAAAGTCCGCACACCATCGACATCGTTTTCTATGGAAACCAACACCCCTGGCTTCAGTCCGATAACAGCAGAGTTGTCCTGAATTTCCGTGCAGCAAAGTGTGCCGTCTATAACCTTGTGTACGCCTTTGGCAACCGGACGCCGCGTAGCAGTCGGGTATGTATTGTCGAAGCAAAAAACCTTTTCCTCGTGTGATNTCGTGTGATACCCTGACTAGTACGTTCAACATTTCGACGGACTATTGGTTCCGCTAGCGTATTTCCAGAGGAAGCGCAGTGGTGGATGGTTTACATGAAAGTGTTGAGGTGGAAACCGCATGGATTTTCTAGCACACCAAAACGCCGAACGTCTTCGCCAAGTGGGTCCATGTATGGACATTGTAAACCAGTTGTGATTCATCATTTTTTATATTACACACCTAATTATGATGAACAGCAAACTGGGCGAACCCCATAGTTACGAGGACCTGCTGTTCTGTGGTGGAAACCGGCAACCTAAGCCCCGAGACTTGGAGTGGCGAACCACATAGGTTAGGTATAGGACCGGGCGACAACAAAGCTGCTTACCACCAAAATAAATCAACGAATTTCCCTAAAACTATGCACGGAATCCAAATAATGACTTGGAAACGTTTTACTCCACAATATATCCGCAGATACCGAGAATTCCAAAAATTTCGTACCTCTCCAGCGGTAATGCGTNATGCGTACCGTAAAATCACGGGTTCCAGATACAGCATGATTTGTCGAAATTCGTTGGTCTTCAAAAATTGATATCGAGACACCGTCGGGAAAATCACATGTCAAATATTCAACGGCAAACTGCAGTCGTTCCCGAGCCATCTTCCACACAAATCCGCTGATTGGTGACCCGTTTTTCGCCACAAACAGATGAACGGTTTCATCAATTCAAGACTGCATGCATGCAGTCGGTCGGAAACACAACGAGCACATTCACGGTAAATGGTGAAAGCTCCATGTGACGCTCCTCCTGTCTACGTGCGCGGAAATCCCAATCAGTCCTCGGCTTTCCGCCACCGTCCCTAAAGACCAACCCGCAGTTCCTCACATGGGTGTCTCCACTAAAGGACGTTTGCTTCCGGCATCTGTCGCAGACCTGCACGTGACTCCTGATCCTTATTTGGGTCTTTCTTTACTCAACTTCAGTGCTCATCCTCTGACGGTTTCACTTCTGCATCCTAATGATGGGCTCATCGGTACCGTCTATGTACGTCAAGCTCTTCATTATGCTAATCTCGTTGCATTGTGCCGTCCTTTATTGCCCGGATTAACTTGACGTCATCATCGGTAAACGTGAAGCACAGGTTTCCCAGCCCGTTTGCCAGATTATTAACAAACAATACAGATAACAGTAACCCCAGCACAGACCATTGAGA